TATTTGGAAAAACTGCTATGTTTTGTTCTGCTGTGATGCATGTAGAGAAAATTAGTATAGAGTCCTTCTTGCTAAGTATCTACATCTGCTATGGCTCATCCCTAGCTTCCTGGTGAGCATACAACTACCAGATGTTATCTGAAGATTGGCTTGTTGGCAGCTGGATAGCATGGCCAAGGATTGATTGCTAAGCAGTATCTCTTGTCAAAATATATGAGCAATGTTAATGTTACTCTGCATTCCATTTTTTTTGTCTGCAGTCTTAAACCCATAAGTAATGCAATGAAATTGTAACATCTGAAGGAATATAGCAAGCTTTGTTGCACTGAATGAAAATGGCATAAACAGGGAGCATCTGTCATGTTTTTAAAGCCAGTAGTTATGGTGTTTTTCTCATTGTTCAAATTGCTTTCAGATAGTTCTGCATTTCTTCATCAAATCTTACAGTTATATGTGAATTATAAAATACTACGATGATAAAAATATTAGATGTTCAGTTGTTTGCGACACCAGAAGGTACTGGAAAAGTAACAAAATATTTACATTACGTGAATACAATACAGCATGTCAGTTCTTGGCAGCAAGACCTTATTTTAAGCAGTGTGTTTGTTTGCTAGGTTATTGTAGGAAACATTTCATAGGTGCTTTTTCTACAACAAGCTTTGAGCCTTGGAAATTGAGATATGGAAGCAGTGTCTCCTCTGAGATGATGATCTGTAAATGTGTGTTTATCTTATGACAAATAGTTATCCTAGTGATGGCTGACCAGTTCCAAGATTCTGTTTAAAAGATCCGTAATTTCATTGAATGCTGGATTTGTACAGAGCATGAAAGTGGCTGTTTTCTTTCTACAGGGAGAGGTGTCAAGGAATTCTTCCAGAACAGCTAAATGTATCTTGTTTTCTGACTTGATTCTATTTTATCTCTATTTTTAGTAAGCTGGACAAAATCATATACATTAATATTATGTATTTTATCAGTAGGTTTAATACCAGCTCAGTCTTTGTCCCCCAGTCCAAGTACGCTTGTGCCTCTTTGTAGATTTAAACACTGGCGTAGTCTTCTTGAAACCAGTGAGGCTGTGAGTGAAAACATGCCTGTGTTCCCTAATGTTCAGAGAAAGCAGTTTTACAAAGCACTTAGGGCTTGTCCAGGTATACTTTCATAGTTTACATGGTCAGATTTTAAGTGTTGTTTATATCTTTTGGGTTTTTTTTTCAGAATTCCTTTTTCATTGCTGGAGTTCAGTCAGAAGAAAATACCTAACATAACTAATATCCCTTTTCTCGTGAATAAGCAAATTGTACAATTTGCTTTGTAAAATCACTGACAACAAAATATTCCCTCCTTTGGGCTCCTCTCAGAAACCTAAATCTTTCTTTTTGTTCTCACGACTGAAATCTTTGTTTGTGATACGGACATCCACCACCACGAGTACTGCAATTTCTTCTCTGTCTGTTCTTTCTCTACTTTCCAGCCTAGCAAACGATTGCAGTGGAAATCATGTGTCTTTCCAACAAGTGGACGAGATTTCTTCCTCTTCAGTATTCCTATTTTGGCTTCCTTTGACCTCAAGTTTAGCTGCCACTTCTCCTCAAGGTTCATCCTGTTTCTGCACTCGCAGTTATTCCTTGTTCTCATTTCTTTTCATTCTCCATTTCATGCCACTTATTCTGCCTATTGTTTTTATTCTACCATTTCTCGGGGACCTTTCCTCCCTCCTCATTTTTGTGCTGCTTTAATGCTGCCCTTCAACATGTGTCAGAACTTCCTGCTGATGCTTGTTTCTTTCCATTTAAACTTTCACTTCTTTTGCAAAGCCCACTAATGATAATTACCCATGTAATAAAACTAAATATTTTATATAATTTTTTTTAAAAAGCACATGGGATATTCTAAAATGAAAGGCCTTTTGAGGTAGCCATCTGCCAGGTGTCACCATTTGAAAAGTTGGTGCCTTTCTTTCATTAACCTGCAGGCTGTCATTCATACTTGAGCAGCCAACCACACAGTTTTGACACGGACTCCCAGAGAAGGGGAGAGAGCACTGTGCCCTGCTGCAGGTGAGTACATGCCACCCCACGGACTTGCACAGTCCAAAGATCCAGCTGAAAGGCACAATCCCCAGCTACAGTGTAGCATTGCAGACCCTCCCTTGTCAAACAGCCCCGCGTGTTTCGCTGCTTACATGGACTCGTGCATGTTAGGAGAGAAGAAACTGGAGACATGTTGGCCATATAGACAGCAGCTCTGTTCCCAGTTAGTCTGATGTAAAAATGAAGTCAACAGCTTGCAACATTCAAGAGTGTGTCCTCTACCTTGATACACTCTGTAAGGGACTATAGAATCATAGAATCATAGAATAGTTTGGGTTGGAAGGGACCTTTAAAAGTCATCTGGTCCAAGCCCCCTGCAATGAGTAGGGACATCTTCAACTAGGTCAGGTTGCTCAAAGCCCCATCCAACCTGGCCTTGAACACTTCCAGGGA